ACACACACACACACACACACACACACACACTACTACACTACACTACACACAACACACACACACACACACACACACACACACACACACACACATGGCCGTTGCACCTGCAGGCGAGCACTACCACTCAAGCGTCCACCACCTCCACCTCCTCGTCCTCTGTGCGCCGGCGCATGACATAAACGGCCACGTCATATCACCCCCCTCCCATCCCTCTTCCCGCGCCAAGAATAACGGGCTTCCGTTGCTCGCAGGTTCGGGTATTGCTGCCGTGTTGTGGCTGGATTAGCATGGCGGGAACGTTGACGAGACAGCACCGGCTGCCGCCTCGCTTGAAGCACGGCAACGACCACGACAACCTCGACAACCACGACGACCACGACAATCACAACGTGGCATTCAGCCAGGGCTCGCAACCACACACATTGGAAACCACAGCCGGTGCTCGAGACAAGCCTCGGGCAAGCAGCCTCATTACACCCTGGTTCGTGGCAACCACGCAAGCTTCCCCTCCATCCCTCTCTCTCTCTTCCGGCAACCACGCCAAAGAGCCCTCCCCCCCAAACACACACACACACACACACACACACACACACACACACACACACACACACACACACACACACACACACACACGCAACTGCGGCCGTTTGCACGAAACGAATCCTTGGCGTTTATGGTGTGTGTGCGCACTGTGCAAAGGAATGCAGCACATGAAAGAAACCAAAAACACAAAAGGGTGCAGGCAAACGGGCAGAGAGGCGAATAGAGAAGAAGAGGGGACAGGCAAAGTAGGGTAAGACAGGCAAGAGGCGAGAGGGCAACACAAACAAGCAAGGAGACACCACACGCAAACAAGAAGATGAAGAAGGGAAGAAGACAAGCAATGGCGATTAAGCAGAGAGACGAGTGTGCGTGTTGTTGTGGAGCATGCGTGAATGTGCGCACGCGCGTGTCACTTCTTCTTCTGGCCCTTCTCCTGCTCGGCCTTCATGGCAGCCTTCTTCGCAGCCTTCTCCTGCAGCCGCTGTGCGTCGCTGTGGGCGGTGGTGGGGGCCGAGGGTAAGGACGGAAGTTGTGAAGGTAGGGGGGTGGGGGGGGAAGACGCAGGAAAGCGAGGAGAAGGACACGAAGCACTGCATGAATACACACACACACACACACACACACACACACACACACACACACACACACACACACACACACACACACACACACACACACACACACACACACACACACACACACACAGAGCCTCACCGCTCGCGACGCTGCTGTGGGGTGAGGCCGTCATCTGAGCGCTTTCCCTTCTTGGCATCTTGCTGCTTCTTCATGTTCTTCTTGCGAGCAAGTTCACGCTGGTTTCCGCGAGCCATGGTGCGTGGTGGTGGCGTGGAAGAGAGACACGACGACAACAGGAGGAGGTGTGGTGTCTACATGCGCGTTGTGTTGAATGGGTGGTTGGTGGAGTGTCGTGGAAGAAGCTGAAGAAGGCCGCCCAGAAATTTGCAGAGTCAGCACAATTTCGTGTTTGGCTAGAAAGTTGCTTGAAATCATTCGCAAATCGCCACGATCTGCTGTCGCCAAGGAAGCAAGAAGCACTGCTCGCCAAACCACCAACACACACTCCACACAACAGACACTCACATCACAGTCAAAACAACACAGCACCAGCGATGGCTGCCAAGAAGAAGCAGATCCTGGTGCGTGCGACGTGTGCTTCATTGCTTGCTTGGAGAGCTGCCTTTGCTTGGTCTTGGGTTTTGCCTTTGCGGCTCTTGACCGACCGTCACAAGTGCTACAACACACTCACTCACACTCAACAACACGCGCGCAAACGCACACATACACACACGCACGCACACACGCACACACACACACACACACACGCAAACGCACACATACACATACACATACACACACGCACGCACACACGCACACGCACACACGCACACATATACATATACACACACACACACACACACACACACAGGAGAGCCTGCATTCGCAGGCGGAGTTTGACGAGTTCCTGCAGCGTGAAGGGCTCAAAGGTGAGGCAACGTGCAGCGAGGGTGTGCTGTGCCGTTTCCAGGGGTAGGATGGGGCTTGTGAGTGGTAACCCCACACGCTTGCGCGTGATGACTATGACATGTCGACCCCGCTTCGCTGCTTCGCTGCTTCGCTGCCTCGCTGGTTTATCTCACCTGTTGCGTCTCCTTGCGATGCGCGTGGTGTGACGCCAGTCATCGATGCCTACACTGCGTGGTGCGGACCATGCAAGGCTGCAGAATCCATCTTCAAGCGACTGAAGATTGATCTTGCTGACGACCTCCTGCACTTTGCCTCTGTGAGCGAACATGCGCGGCCCACAACAATGCCACCTGTTTATTTGTTTTGAACACCCTCGCACGTGCCAATGCTTGTTTGTTTTCTCCTCCTCCACACACACACACACACACACACACACACACACATACACACATACACACATACACACACACACACACACACATACACACACACACGCTCTCTTGCTTTCATTGCCCCGTTTCTGAAATTCACTCGTATGCTGAACACACCGAAACATTCCACACAGGCCGAGACTGACAAGATTGAGAAGCTCTCCGAGTACCACGGTACATCGCGGCCCACGTTCCTCATCTACGGCGTACGTTGCACCTCATAAGCTGCGGTGCAGCCTTTTTACCCGTGACACTTCGCTGTGCTTGGGTGGACTGCTCGGCGTACGCTGTTGCCTTTGTTGCGTTCACGTACTCTCCTTCTCACCACGAGGCCTCTGCCCCTGCTTCTGTGTCGTGCATGTAGGCGGACGTGCTTGTGAATGCGCTGTTGGGCATCAACGGACCGCACCTCAGCGACATGGTCAAGGAGGAGCTGCAAAAAGAGCACGAGGCCCTCGAGTCGGGCGCCGAGCGGCAGGAGGTGCGCCGTGCCGTGGATTGTGTGTGTGTGTGTGTGTGTGTGTGTGTGTGTGTGTGTGTGTGTGTGTGTGTGTGTGTGTGTGTGTGTGTGTGTGTGTGTGTCCTGCTTCGTTGTACTTGCTCGAGTGCTGGTTCGTGTGCGTGTATTCTCATTCACACACTCACACATGCTCACTCGTTTCACCTGCTTCGTTGATGTTCTCGTCCCTCTATCACCCCACGCCCTCCCTTGCCTGTTCCGTGCGTGCTGCCAGTTTGACACGGCGACGCTCGCTGCCTCCCGCCCATCCTCGTCGCGCCCGCGCACAGCGAAGAGCGAAGAGGCGGCAGCCGCATCGCACGCATCCTCTCGCAGGGCAAGCAGCGCAAAGCGTGAGTCATGCTGCATGTGGTGGCATTGGTAGTGGCTGTGTTCACGTGGTGGTGGTGGTGGTGGTAGAAAAGTATTGGTGGTGATGGCGGAGGTATCTTTCGTGGCACCAGCGAGAAGATGCGACGCGTCTTGGCATTTGCTCTGCTGGGCTGTGTTACCACCGTGATGGGACAAATGTGTTCGTGTACCGCACCAATGACCGGCTCACACCTCGTTTTGTCCTGCGCTGCTTCACGTACAGCCAAGACGTACACGCTGGCCCTCATCAAACCCACCGCGCTTGCAAACGGCCACGGCGACGCCATCTTTGCAAAGGTGCACCAGCAACGGGCGCGTGTGTGCGTGTGCTTGAGTGTGCGCGCACCCTGCTGCTGCGTGTGTGCATGCTTCCTCTTTGTGCGCGCGCGTTTGTTGATCTGATGCCATCGCCACCCTTCATCCACTTGCCATCACCTGCGTTCACATTTCCATCTCCTCCATCCTCTCCCCCGCTCACACCCCTTTCCCTCTCAGATTGCTGAGGCGAACATCAAGGTTGTGCAGCAGGACGAGGTCACGCTCACGGAGGAGCAGGCAAAGGCATTTTACGCCGAACACGAGGGTGAGGGACCAGGCGCGGAGAATAACGAATGAGCTTGGGGGGGGGTGGTTGTGTGGCTTGTGCTGTTGTATGTGTTGTGGCACGATGTGTCTTGGGTGGCAGAGGATGGTGTGTTTCAATTTTGTGCACAACCACGCGCGCACATTTGCATTCATATGCACTCACACGCACCACCGCGCACAACAACAACAACAACAACAACAACAACAACAACAACAACAACAACAACAACAACAACAACAACAACAACAACAACAACCGCGCTGGTGCCTGCAGGCAAGGAGTTTTTCGACAACCTCGTGTCGTTCATGACAAGCGGGCCCATCAAGCCGCTGGTGCTCATGTCGCACGGCGATGCTGTTGCGGAGTGGCGGCAGCTGATTGGGCCGACCAGCGTCGAGACGGCCAAGGAGGAGGCACCCGACTCCATCCGCGCGCTGTACGGGACAGACAACACCGCCAACGCCGCGCACGGCTCAGACTCAAAGCTCTCCGCATACAGGGAGATTGAGTTCTTCTTCCCAGGTGAGGCGTCATGTATGTTTGTGTGTGTGTGTAAGTGAGTGTGCGCGCGTGCGTGAGCGTGTGTGTTTGTGTGTGTACGTGAGTGTGAGTGTGTGTGTGTGTGTGATTTTATGTGTGAGTGTGTGTGTGTGTGTGAGTGTGTGTGCGTGCGTCAACGAACGTGCCCGTGTGTTCATACGTCTCTGTGTATCTCGTGTTGGTGTCGTGTGGATGTGATCATGTAAATCGCCCGCTGCCCTTCCTCCCTTCCTTCTTCTCACTCCGTTCACCACCACAACACCACCACAACACCACCACTCCCCAAATCAACCAACCAAGACTGGGCGATGGAGAACCTTGTGCCTGATCGCGTTGTGCTGCTTGTTGCGCCGGACGCCGTGGAGCGCAAGGACGACATCATCGCAGACATCACTGGCGCAGGTTTTGCCGTTGCCGCCGATAAGGAGGTGTGTCGTGTGTGTGTGTGTGTGTGTGTGTGTGTGTGTGTGTGACGTGTGTGTGTGTGTTTGCGTGATGTGTTTCTTGCGTTTTCTAGCACTGACTCAACTCTCTTTCTCCTTCTCCCATGCACACACCATCAAACCCTTGTCTCGCCTTATCCGCTGTCCTAAAGCTGACGCTGACGGAGGAGCAGTGCGTCAACTGCTTTGAAGACTTGAGTGACGAGCTCAAAGAACACCTCACAGGGTGAGTGGTGCTGGTCACATGCGTTGCTCATGCACACGAGGCATTCCGGCACGCGTTGTTCGTTGTTGTAGTTGATCCCCACCCTCCATGCCCCCATCCAGCTCTCTTCTCATTGTCCATCGTGCATGCTTCCACCATCACCTCCCACCCATTGACGATCCCCTCCTTACCATCCACCCTCCCGCCACCATCACCACCTTCCTCACCACCGCCTTCGCCACCACACAGCGCGGCGTCTGTTGTGCTGTCGCTGACACGGGTGCGTGGGTACGATCTTTTCCCGGCCCTCGTCGGCGTTGGCGACCTCGACGCCCTCAAGCAGGACAACCCAGAATGGTCCGTGAATGGCTGCGTTTGTGGTGTGGTGTGGTGTGTTGTTGTGTTGTGTTGTGTTATGTGGTGTTGTGGTAGTGTGTGGTGTGGTGGTGTGGTGTACTTTGTGTTGCGTGGGGACAATACAGGTTGCGAAAGGGAGAATAGCCCACTTTGTGTTCCTCTCTGCACTCTCTCACTCACTCGCTCGCACACACACACACACACACATAACACATTTTGTCCACACGAGCAGCCTGCGTGCCAAGTACGGCACAGACGCGGTGAAGTTTGGCGTGTGGCATCCGTCTGGGGAGGAGGAGAACGACAAGGTGGCGGCGCTGCTGCTGGACGAACCAGACGAGCTGGAGGTGGTGGACCCGCACCTGCAGGGCGAGCACCCGGAGAAGGCAGAAGGTGGTGAGGAAGGCGGTGAGGAGGGTGGTGAAGAAGGTGGTGCGGAGGGTGAGAAGGGTGAGGAGGGTGAGGAGGGTGAGGAGGGTGAGAAGAAGGAAGGGGAAGGCGCTGAGGAAAAAGAGAAGAAGGAAGGCGAACAGCAGAAGGAAGGTGAACAGCAGAAGGAAGGTGAGGGTGAAGCGACAGAAGCACCAAAGGCTGACGGTGCCGAACAGACATCTGAAGCCAGTGCTGGCGGAGGCGACGATGACAAGAAGGCGGAAGGGGAGAGCGCAGAGGGTCAGGATGCCGCTGCCGCTGATGGCGATGGTGGCGATGGTGAGGCCACAACGACGGAGGAGGCGGAGAAGAAGGAAGGTGAAGAGGAGAGCGACAAGCCAGCAGAGGCTGAGGGCGAAAACAAGAAGGACAGCGAGGAGGAGAAGACAGAGGGCGAGGCAGCCAAGACGGCTGACGACGCCGATGGCGCTGATGCTGATGCAACAGCGACAGCAGAAGCGTCAGAGGGCGCAGACGCAGACAAGCCCGCCGAGAAAGAGGCAAAGCAAGGAGTGGAAGGTGTCACAAACGACGACTCAACCACAGACAACTAACAACACCCCTGTGTGTGTGTGTGTGTGTGTGTGTGTGTGTGTGTGTGTGTGTGTGTGTGTGTGTGTGTGTGTGTGTGTGTGTGTGTGTGTTCGTAAGCATTGTTCTGTCCACGACAGCTGCTGTGTTCTGTTTCACGTCCATTCTGCGCGCACATGTCGTGTTCTCCCGCTCAAAACACACCAACAGAGTAAACGGTTGCTGTTTTCAAAGCCACATGAACCACCACCCCACTACGGTTGAGCACTCATTCCAGCAAGATCATTGAGGGCGAGTTTGGTTTCTCTATTGGCAAACAAAACAGATCAAGCAAGAGGAAAGAAGAAGGGAAGGGTAAAAGGCAAACAAGAAGAGAAGAAGAAGAAGGGAGCAAGTGCTGAATTGTGACCACATATTCACACGGGCACACAGACAGCAACAAAAGTGGGAGAAAGAGATAAGGGGGGGGGGGAAGACGACGGCGATGAAACCACTGGAGAAGCGTGACATCAAAGCAGCGGTTGGATTAGAGGCTGATCATCATAACAGGTGGGCGAACGCTTCCTGATGCGAGCTCGAGGGCAAGCTTTAGAGGGTGATGTAGTGCCACTTGTTGACGCTGGGGTCAATGGGGGCATCTGGTGCAGCCTCCGGGGCGGCGGCAACCGTTGCCTTGGCGTCCTCCTGGGAGATGGGGGCGGCGCCAACCATGGTGCCGCTGGGGGCAATCTTCGGGTGCACAACCTCGCCGCTGTTGAGCTTCTGCCACTGGGCCCGCGCCTCCCTGATGATGCTCAGGGCAAAGTTCTTGTCCTTGGCCTGGCCCTCAAAGGCAAACCGGTTCTCGGGCTTGCCGGCGGGGATCTTGTAGATGCGGAACCACTCGACAGTCGCCTATGTGTGTGCGTGCGTGTGTGCGTGCGTGTGTGTGGTGAGGCAATGGTCGGAAGTGCGACAAAAACGAAATCTTGAATGAGAGAAAGGAAGGTCAATAAATGTGCGCGAGGGCGTTGTTCGGTGTGGTCGGATCAGGGGCCTAAGTGACATCAATGAAGGACAACTTTGGTTTCCAAAGCGCCTTTGATTCAGACTAGAGGTGTCAAATAAAAGTTCTCATCATATCCCACCATCAACAACTTCAACAACAACAACAAGCAAGTGGACAATACAGTCTACAAAGAGAGTCAAAACAATGTCTTCACGCATGGAACTCACCGAAAGGTAGCCGCGCATGACCTTCTCAATGTCACCGACATCTGTCAGTCACCAAGCACAACGTGGCATGGACAAGCAGACGGAAAAGGGTGAACCCACCAACGAATTCGGGAAGCAAACCGAAACGGAGGAGGACATGTTGCGACCAAATGAGAAGCAATGAGGGAGAGGAGGGGGGAAGCAGCGTACCGTTGAGCGATTCGGCGCGGGGGTCGTTGACGTCAATGCCGAGGAGCTTCCAGTCCGTCTCGCCGTCATCAATCATGGCAAGGACACCGAGGATCTTCACCTGCTTGATCTCGCCAACCTCAGCAATCTGTGTGCGCATGCAAATTCAGGTGCAGAACGAACAAAGACAAAACAAACACTCAGTGAGCTTGGCGTGGGTATGGTGTGCGTCGCAGTTCGTTGTTGTTGGTGTTGTTGTGCCAAGTCGAACGTTCAGTTCTCTGAAGACACAAGACAAAACGAACACGCGGCCATGTTCTCAACAACAGCAACACCACACCACACACAAACACATGCACGAACATGTGGGCATGTCCAACGTACGCTGTCAGAGAGATCGCAGATGTCGATGGGGTCATTGTCGCCGTTCTCGCCTGTGTGATCGTCCTTGGCGTCGGGGTTCTCCCATGTCTGTTCAGGAGAGGGTGTGTGGACACGTTATGATGGTGGTGTTGGTGAGAGAGGGGGGGGGAGGGGAGGAAGGACAAGCCAGCCAGAAAGAGCACACAATGGTGTCATGTGTGTCCGTCGCACGCAGCTTCACACATGCGTGTAAGCAAGAAAGTGAAGCGAGTGAAGAACAAAACAAAAAGAGCATGCAGGATATGGTGTCGCTATTACCTGAGGGACGGCGCCGTAGTTCCAGATGTAGCCGTGGTGGGGGAAGCAGTTGTGGACGAAGCGGGGCTGTGCAAGGGAACAGGAAACAGGCATACAAGAGAGAGTGTGTGCGCGTGTGTGAGTGTGTGTGTATGTGTGTGTGTGTGAGTGTGTGCTGTGATGAGTGTGCAAACGGCTCTCTCACACACACTCTCTCTCACTCATGATTGAGCACGCCTGCCTGCATGCAGCTGCGAATTCATCTTCCTCACCCACGGTCACCAACACACCTTGCCCTTCTTGACGTCCTGTGTGATGGGGTTGAGAGGAGCACCAGTGTTGATCTGGCAAACAAACAAAAGAAAAAGAAAAAAAGCCGGCAGGTCGTGATGAGCTAACTTGAGCGACAAGCACAAGAGCTGGGGAGGCGCATTTGAAGGAGCCGTGGTGCACCACGGCAGTGTGCGCCAAAATAAGCAAAGTCATGGGCGTGTGTGCCGACTTTACGCGGGGCACGCGCTTCTCTCAGTTCTCACCTCCATCTTGGCGTTGGACCACCGGGGGACCTCGCAGACCATGTTGACAATGCCGTTGGCCTCATCAGCCCAGGTGGGGATGTCGTGGAATGGAGAGACGTAGTTGCCCTCGGCATCCTCTGCACAGATTCAACAAGAAAGGCAAGAGAAGAGAGCGAGTGGGAGTGTGAGTGAGTGTGTGGGTGAGTGAGTGAGACGTTGTTTGAGTTGTGTAGTCTGAAGAAAAGTACAACCAAGGCGTGTTGAACGCACTGAAGTAGACGGCGTAGTCCGTGGTGTACTTGGCACCACGCTGCTCCGTTGTCAGGCTCATCGTGTGTGTGTGCGTGTGTGTGCGTAGGGGGAGGGGAAGAGGTGGTGCGTTGGAGTGTGTTGGTGCGGGGGATGAATGGTGAGCTGTGTGAAGGCAAAAAGAGGGCGGCAGGCGATGGTTGTAGATTGAGAATGCATATCCACCATTAATTGCCACGTGGTTGCTGCGAGTGCGCACACAACATACCCAGAAAAGGCAAACTTGCCTTTTGCTGCGCCGCTCAAAGTCAGGTTTGCTTTGCAGCAACGCATTGCGCGAAGAGCAGCGAGCCAGAACAAAAAACAAAGCGTCGCCTTCGTCATTCACTTTGCCTCCTGCTGTCTCGCCTCGCCTTCGTCGCTGCTGCCGCTTGTTGCTTCCACGACCAGTCTCAGAATGCTGTCACGTCTCCAGGTCAGTTGGTGACTTGAACACTTGCATGTTTGCGTGAGTGCTTTGTGTGTGCTTTGTGTGAGTGCTTTGCGTGAGTGTTTGTGTGTGTGCTTTGCGTGAGTGCTTGTGTGTGTGTGCTTTGTGTGTTTTTGTCACGTTAATGACGCTGTCCTCACTGTGTGTGCATGCTGGCAACCAGACTCGCCAGACCACGAGCGCCCTCCGTGGTGCTGTCCGCTGCGCCTCCACCGGCCTGCCCAAGGTACGTGTGTGTGTGTGTGTGTGTGTGTGTGTGTGTGTGTGTGTGTGTGTGCGCGCGCGCGCTTGTCATAGCATGGCATGAAATGGCGAGTTGTTCACTTCCTTCCAACCAACTTCCTGCAGCCACCAAGCACATGCCCTCTCCTCCCCCCCCCTTTCTCCAACTCGTGTTCCTCACGACTTGCTTGCATTGCGTTGATGGATAGGATGTGTACATCTGCAGTGCTGCGCGCACGCCCATTGGCTCCATCAACTCCAGCCTTGCTGCTGTGACTGCGCCCCGTCTCGGTGTCATTGCCGCCCAGGGCGCCATGGAGCGCGCCGGCCTCAAGCCCGAGCATGTCGAGGAGGTCTACTTTGGCAACGTCATCTCCGCCGGCGCCGGCCAGGTGAGCATGTGTGTGCGTGTGTGTGTGTGCTGTACATTAGACTTCCTGCCTGTGTACTGGCTTGTATGTCCTCCTCGCCTCGCCTCGTCTACTCGCTCGCGAGCGCTCTCACAAACTTCCTTGTCACAACAGTCTCCAGCGCGCCAGGTTGCCATTGGCGCCGGCTGCCCCGTGTCCACAGAGGCCACCACCATCAACAAGGTGCGTGTCTGTGTGCGTGTCTGTGTGTGTGCGTGTGTCTGTGTGTTTGTGCCATGGGTGCTGCACTGCAAACGTTCAGCGCTTCACACACTCTCCCTATCTGGCTATCTCCCCTGTACTCACGTATGCTGAATGTTAATTCCATTGCTGCATGTATCAGGTGTGTGCCTCCGGCATGAAGGCCATCATGATGGCTGCACAGAACATCACCCTCGGCGTCCGCAACGTCATGGTTGCCGGTGAGCCAGCGTGTGTTGTAAGCGGAGAGGAGCGGAGGGGCTGCGAGGGGAGCTTGGAAATGTGTGTGTGTGTGTGTGTTTGCTGAAGTTTGCATCAACCTGCGCTCGCTGAACATGAGCATGCTTGTTTGCCTGTTGTCTCACATCAACACATCTGCTCCCTCTGTAACGTTTCATTGTCCCTCAGGCGGTATGGAGAGCATGTCCAACGCTCCTTACATTCTCCGCAAGATGCGCGCAGGTGTGTGTGTGTGTGCGTGTGTGTGCGTGTGTGTGTGTGTGTGCGTGTGTGTGTGTGTGCGTGTGCGTGTGCGTGTGAGTGTGTGTGCGTGTGCGTGCGCGCGTGTGTGTGCGCGCGTGTGTGTGCGTGCATGTGTGCAATCAGATGCAGCGTCAACTGTCGCTTTCACCTATGCCGCTCTCATCATCATCACCACCATTCACCACCAACCTTCACCACCACCACTGCTTCTTATCATCAGGCGCCGGGTACGGTCACCAGACTGCGGAGGACCTCGTGCTCGCCGATGGCCTCACAGACGCATACAACAACATCCACATGGTACCGTAAACCCCCCCCCCAGTGCACTGCCTTAAATGCTTCCCACTGTTGTGGTTGCGCGTGTGCGTGTGTTGATGTGTTGAGGAAATGGCTGTTGCAGGACTGGGATGCTGCTCGTTCATGCTCAAACACTTGCACACGCACGCCCATGCACACACACACACACACACATGTCCTCATCCGCGTGCTCGTTCGCGATGCCACTGGCCCTGTGTGCAGGGCCTTTGCGGCGAGGATACGGCAGAGAAGTACAACATCACCCGTGAGCAGTGCGACGAGTTTGCCATCGAGGTAAGTGAGAGAGAGTGTGTGTGTGTGTGTGTGAGTGAGTGAGTGAGAGTGAGTGAGTGAGTGAGAGTGAGTGAGTGAGTGAGTAAGAGAGTGTATGAGTGTGTGCGTGCGTGTGTGTGTGTGTGTGTTTACGCGTGTTTGTTTGCACTGTCGCTGCTCGTGATGTGCACCCTCAACCAACACTTCCTCATCATGCGCCTTCCCATCGCCTCCATCCACCGGCACATCCACTCATCCATCCATCCGCCCGTCTGTGCTGTTTAGTCGTACAAGCGCAGCTCCAAGGCGGCCGAGTCTGGTGTCCTTGCAAAGGAGATTGTCGACGTCAACATCCCCCAGCGCAAGGGCGACGACAAGGTTTGCCATGGCCCCTTGTGTGTGTGTGTGTGTGTGTGTGTGTGTGTGTGTGTGTGTGTGTGTGCCTTTTCCTTGTCTGCATTGCTTGCCCCGTGTTCGGTTCCACGTCTGTCAGCAAACAACATCCACACGTGCCACTCCCCACCACTCATCTCGCCCCTCTCCCCACCTTTTTCCATCGTGCGTGCGTGTGTGTGTGTGTGCATGACGATGGCTGCAGGTTGTGTCTGTGGACGAGGAGTTTACACGCATCAACTTTGACCGCATCCCCTCGCTCCGCTCCGTCTTCAAGAAGGACGGTGAGGGATTCCTGGCATGGGGGTTACCGCTGGGCGCCCCCACGCGCACACGAGCATACGTGAACACATGTGCAATGTCGCGCACGTTTTTGTGCCATGGGAGTGTCGTCCTCATTTGCACACGACGACACCGCAATTGCACGTTCCACGCAATCTTGTGGATGACCTCAATCACGTGCTCCTCACGCACACACACACACACACACACACACACACACGTCTTGGTCATTGCCCGTGGCAGGAGTGATCACTGCTGCGAATGCGTCGACGCTGAATGACGGCGCTGCTGCTGTTGTTCTCGCGTCCGAGGAGGCCGTTGCCCAGCACGGCCTCACCCCGCTCGCAAAGATCAGAGGTGCCGCGCACACGCGTGCTGTCCTGTTGTGTGTGTGTGTGCGTGCGTGTGGGTGTGGGTGTGGGTGTGGGGGTGGGGGTGTGGGTGTGGGTGTGGGTGTGGGTGTGGGTGTGTGCGTGTGTGCTGCTCTTTTCGAGCCCTCCCGTTCGACCCCCGCTCTCGCTGTTCCCTCTTCAAAATGCACACGCGTCTCAACCTTGCCTCACACATGTATGTGTGTTTATGTGCATGCGTGTCTTCCTCATTCAAAGGTTTCGGCGACGCCGCCCGCGCCCCGATTGAGTTCCCCATCGCCCCTGCACTCGCCACTCCAATCGTGCGTCGCTTTGTTTGTTTGTTTGTGCGTGTGTGTGTGTGTATGTGTGTGTGTATGTGTGTGCGTGTACGTGTGTGTGCGTGTACATGTGTGTGTGTACACAACTTCGCATGTCATGATCTGCTACTTCTCATCATCATCATCACCATCATCACCACGGCAAACGCACATGCCAGGCACTTGAGAACGCCGGCGTCTCTGTTGCGGACATTTCCCGCTGGGAGATCAACGAGGCTTTTGCTGTCGTCGTCCTCGCAAACATGAAGGTGCGCTCATCCACACACACACACACACACAACAAACATGCGTTGTGTTGCCTTGATGAATGTGTGTCTGTATGCGTGTATGCATGTGTGTATGCGTGTGTGTATGCGTATGTGTGTGTGGTTTCTATGCCGATGCATGTGCGCTGTTTGAAGTTCACTTCCCGGTTCATGACGCCCACCAACCACTGCTGCGACCAGATGCTGAACATTGATGCGAGCAAGGTCAACATCAACGGTGGCGCCGTCTCCATCGGCCACCCCATCGGGTAAGCGCTCAGTGTGTGTGTGTGTATGTGTGTGTTCCTGTGTGTGTGATCGAGAGTAGAAGTGAGAGAGCATGACATGTGCTCACGCACATAGACACATGCATTGCAATGCATCTCCGCCACCCTTTTTGACACCGACACACACACACACACACACACACACACACACACACACACACACACACACACACACACGTACGCTTACGCTCACATGTACACACACACACATGTACCTCCCCCTCCTCCCCCTTTCTCATCCATCCCATGTTGACAGCATGTCTGGTGCGCGCATTGTCGGGTCGCTGGTGCACCATCTTGAGAAGGGCGAGCTTGGCTGCGCTTCCATCTGCAATGGCGGTGGTGCCGCTTCTGCCATTGTTATCGAAAAGCTCTAGCTGGCCTTGTTGCTGTTGTTGTTGTTGTTGTTGTTGTTGCTGTGATTGTTGTTGTTGTTGTTGTTGTTGGTCATCACTGTGGCGTTGCTGTTGCTGTGATTGTGTCGTGCTTTGTGTTGCGTGGTGGTGTGGCGTGGTAGTCTTTCTTTTGCCTTTTGGTCGTTCCTCTGTTTGGATTGGTGTGTTGATTTGAGGAAAGCGAGAGATCACACGATCACACAATCACACAATGCAAAATTCGTGCACGCGCTCGCACGCTCGCGCGCGCACACACCAACACACAACGCACACACACACACACACCACAACACACAACACACACACACACACCAACGCACACACGCACACACACACACCAACACACATAATGTTCCCGCAAACAAAAACACTACGCCCCACCCAGATTGCATGCATGCATGCTGGGGGCATTCGCCACACTTAACAGTCCATCGGAACAAATCGCACTGCATCGAGGCATCGATGTTGAAACCTTGTCCCGCGCGAAAACCACCATCGCATCATCACCCCACACACACCGTGTGCTTCGCCACCACCTCTCAACCCCCCAAATAAACAAAACAAAACAACACAAAACAACACCACGCACGCCCCTTTCTTCTTCTCTTCTTCGTTTCCCCTCTTCCTTTTTGTTTTCATCTCGCTTCTTGCTACGTTGCCTGTTGCCCTTCGTTTTGCATGTGCTGCTGCTTGTTGGCCCGCACACACACACACACACCTGCCACGAGACAAGAGACCAACCAACCAACCAACCAACAACCGCAGAGCAGAAGCAAAAGCAAGCATCACACACCGCCCAATCACACACGCACAGCCAGTAGCTCTCTGTCTGCCTTTCTCTCCCCGCCACGAAGACGACAGAGAGAGTAAGTCGTGCACCCCTTCCATCCATCCATCGATCACCACCACCATCGCATCACACCACCACCAGCAAAATCATTGCCTCTTTCCTTCTTCTTTCGTTCTGTGCTTTTTGGTGCCTTTGTGTTGTTGTGTTGTTGTTGTCCCCCCCCCCCACTCTCCCAACACTCTCCCTCTGTGCCTCGCTTATGGTGTGTGAACCTGGTGGCACCGCGTGCAACCTGACCCATCCTGTTTGTGGCCTGCGAGCCCTTGACCATCTTCCCGCTCTGATCGACAACCAACAACACCACCAACAACAACACCAACAACAACACACCAACAACAACACACATCCACACCCTCAACCAACCACTGTAAATCGCCTTCTCCGCCGCAGGCCCCCTCCTCGTATTGCCCTCGTCACCCGACGTCATCCAGCCCTTTCGTTTTGCACACTTTAGGCCATCTTCCACGTCCCCACCGCCATCTCTCCCAACGGCGGTGTCCCTCTCCCCTTCATCACCTCCTTATTTCTCTGTTCTTTCCTTCTTTGAACCCTTGTTCACCTTCTCATCTCCCCCCCCCCCCAATATCCACCAGCGCCGCCACTCTCGGATGGATTGAACATTGACTTGCGCGCGTGTCGTTCGCACAAGTGAGCCGGCCGGCTTCATATCGCCGTGCTCTCCTCACTTCACCCCCTCTTCTTCCTTTTTCCCTGTTGCACTGCCACAACAGCCTTTTCCTTCTGCAAGAGCAGACACGCGTGTGTTCCATCCAACCAAGCCGCTTTCTCCCTTCTGGCTTCGCCCTCCTTCCGTTTCATCCCATCCCCCCCCCCTAAACACACACAGCCCTCCTCGCCCTTGCTATGACGGTGACGCACACTGGCAACACAGAGGACGAGAAGCTGCTCCCGACCAGTGCGCGGCTTCACCAAGGCCTCATGTCATCTCCACAGAAACCCACGCCTCCGCCGGCATCCCAATCACACCACCACCATCATCATCAACTGCACAGGCGCGGCAGCAGTGCAGGCGCCCACAGGGGAAGCGACACTGCGCTCGCCTCAACCCCGGTTGCAGACCAGCAGCCGCGCAGCCTGACAAACCCGCCAACAGCCACCTCCTCAACCACCACATCCACCGCGTCCATGTCTGTCACGCCGGCCCGCGGCAACAGCGTCAACTCGCTGCTGCCCTCCAAACCGCCCAGCGCCCGCTCGGGCTCCTTCCGCCGCCGCCCGCGCCTCTCATCCAAAACATCGCCCGACCACACCGCCAACACCACCGCCAGCAGCAGCCCCTCCGCCATGTCCGCACAGCGCCAGCCGCAGCCGCCAATCAGCTTCACCCTCGGCGGCGGCGACGACGAAGACGACGACAGCGGCGATGACAACGACAACAACGGCGACGCCTTCGACTACAGCCCCTCCCGCTCCCCCATCCCGCCAGATGGCGCCCCACCAAACACCACGGCGCTGCGCATGCACGGAACGCAGTCGCCTTCGCCACGCGCGCGTGTCGGCAGCATGGGCGGTCGCCGGCGCATCCCGTCCACATCAGGCAGCAGCAACGTCTTCCTCTTGTCAGACAGCAGCGCCGCCAACGGCACCGGCAATGGCACGCGGCGAGACAGCTCCACAGACCCGCACATGCGCGCACGGGCGAGGAGTGCTCGTGCGCGGTCCTTGTCCAACGCAACAAACGCACGTGCGCAACCAAACAGCAGCAGCAGACGCAGCTACGATATGGGCAGCGACCGCAACGCTGCCACCACCGCCCACGCAAACGGTTCCAGCAACGGCAACCACGTTGGCGCGAACACGAAAGGGGCGGCTGCTGATGAGCTGTCTGATGGGTCGCTCGTGTTTGGATTCGGCACGCTGCTGGACAGGCAGTCCCGTGATGGCGGTGACGATGACTATGACGATGAGATTGGCTTGTTCAGTTCGTCGCCAGTTCCCGGGCAGACAGGCACCAATGACAACAGCAGCAGCAGCAACACTGACACCCTCACCACCACCAACGGCATCAACGGCAACGCTGCCAACACAAACAACAACGCTGAGGACGACGATGATCCGATTATGAAGCGGCTGCACACGGATGACCCTGACCCGACCATTGCGCCCGTGCCCAAGAAACCCATTGACCTGCATGCTTCTCTCCCCGACTATGAGCTCAAGAAGACGCTTGGCGAGGGCGCCTTTGCCAAAGTCAAGCAGGCCGTGCACAGAATATCAGGTCCGTTGCTTTGGTCCTTGATTTCCATTGCGGTTGTGGTGGTTGTGGTGGTGATTGTAGTTGTAACCTGTGGCTGTGGTTGTGGCGGTGGTTGTAGTTGTGGTTGTGGCTGTGATTGTGGTTGTTTTGGACTTGTATGCTGTACAGTTTTATGTTGCGTGGCCTTGTTTTGAGGTCTTCGCCGTTCCCTGCTCGTCTCTCACCACCGCTCACCCCTCCCTCTCTTTCCATTGCTCCGTCTCTCGCATATCTGGGTGGCCAGGCATCTCCGTTGCGATCAAGATCATCTTCAAGGACAACATCACGGCAGACTATGTGCGCGACAACCTCCACCGCGAGGGCGCCCTTATGCGCCAGCTCCACCACCCGCACATCATCAAACTCTACGAAATCATCGAGACTGGTGCGTGCCGCTCTGTCTGTGTGTGTGTGTGTGTGTGTGTGTGTGTGTGGAGGTGTGGTATGCTCTGTGTGTGTGTGTGTGTGATATGCTGCGTGTGTGGGGATGTGTGCTATGCTGTGTGTGTATGAGTTGCACACACGCATGTTGTATCAAACGCCAACACTCCCTCCCTCCCTCCTCACTCACCATTTCTACCACTACCAATACGACTGTTGCCTACCTATCCACCCGCCAAACACGACCTCCCCCCCCCCCTCTTTCATAACTGCCTGCAGAGGACCTGTACTGCCTGGTGATGGAGCTTGCGACCGGGGGCGAGGTGCTCGACTACATTGTGGCCCACGGATCCCTCAGCGAGAAGGAGGTGCGTCGTGGCAGATTGTCTTGCCACTGGCGCACTGAGTCGGTAGTGCTGGGAGTGTGGGCATGGCAGTCAGAAGTTCTGCTGAGGGGGCTGCTTCCAACCCCCCCTGGCTGTACATGTGCTGGTGATGTTGCTGGTCGTGGCAGTCTGTCGCACCGCAGCATCCCTTTGCATCCATGTCCATGTTTTGGGTGCTGCTGCTCACTTGTCCGCCACACACTCTTGTTTCTCTTGCCCGTTTGTTCCCTCCAATCATTGTCGTTCCTGTGCTTTTCTCCTCTTGTTCTTCGTCTTCTGCTTCCTCTCCCGCTCTCTCCCTCTTACTCTTCCTCTCGCTCTCCCTCTTCATCTTCCTCTTCCTCCTCCCTACAAAACAAACACACACATTCGCGTGACTACAGGTGCGCAAGTACTGTCGGCAGATGGTGCAGGCCATCGACCACCTGCACAAGGCCGACATTGTCCACCGTGACCTCAAGACTGAGAACCTCCTCCTCGACCACAACCTCAATCTCAAGCTCGTTGACTTTGGTCTCAGCAACTCCATTCGCGACAAGACCACGCTGGAGACCATGTGCGGCTCCCCGGCGTACACCGCGCCTGAACTCCTGGGCGGCAAGCAATACGGCAAACCCGTCGACATCTGGAGCATGTCAGTTACAGCGCAGCGTTTCTACAGTGTTTGTGTTTGTGGCGGGTGGGTGTGGCTGCTGCTGTTGTTGCTGTTGTCGTGGGTGTGTTTGGTTGCAATTTTGTGTCTGCTCCCCCCCCCCACACACACACACACAAAACCAAAACCAAAATCAATCCTCACTCACCCTCACGCCATGCGCCTGCTTCCACTTGCATCGACCAAACAGCGGGGTGAACATGTATGCGATGCTGACGGGCAAGCTTCCCTTCTCAAGCCACAACGTGACCACCCTCCACGCCATGATCCTCGACCAGCAGTACACCATCCCAGACAAGATCTCAGAAGGTGCGTCTGGGCTACAATTGCTTGGGTGGTCGTACGTGTTTGTCCTGTGTCTGCGTGCACGCATGCATTGCAGACTGGGTTCATTTCAGTTTTGCTTTCTCTTCCCATGATTCACATTCCTCAACACACGTGTTTCAACGCACTCACACTCACTCGATGGCACCCCATCCCGTCCACCACTGCAGAGTGCAAAGACCTGTTGTGCAAGCTGCTTGTGGCCAAGCCCAAGGACAGAATCTCCATGGACGATCTCCGTAACCACCCCTGGCTCGCTCAAGGTGCGGCGCAAGCAAGTCCTTTGACTTCACGCGTCTGCTCTTGTCGCCGTGTTGCGCATGCACATGTGCAAATGTGTGGGAGACAGCGCGTTTGCGTGATCACAATCACACCATCATAGCTTTTCCCCTGACCTCCCCCCCCCCTTTTTTTTTCATCATCCCATTCATTACCATCTCATCACCATCTCATCGTCACCACCACTTGGTTCTTCCAACCGCTTCACTGCAGGCGACGGTCCCATTGCCGCCGACCCCGGCCCCAACGGCAGGAAACTGAACATCAACAACGAAATTGTCGACTACATGGTCACGGTACGCTCACATGTCGTGCACACATGGCATCCCTCACATGTGTGCGCGTGTGTATACAGCACGTGTTATCTGTTGCATTGCCTCGTGCACTGCCCACGCCATGCGCTTGTACACACACACACACACACACACACACACACACACACACACACACACACACACACACGCACGCACGCACGCATGCACGCACACACGCACGCACGCACACATACACACGCACATTGCTAACTCCGTTTTCCCACTCCCACTCCCCTTCTATCCCCCTCCCCCTCCCCCCCAACTCCAATTGGAACCACTACAGCTTGGCCACGACCGGGAGGAGGTGCTCGAGTCGATTGAGGGCCAGTGCTGCAACCCGCCGTACGCGTGCTACCACCTGCTCGCCGTGCGGCTGGAGCGGACTGGGCACCTCAAGCCCCGCGGATCCTCTGCCAGCGCCGGCAGCCGGAAGGGCAGCGGCCGCCTCACCCGCGCCATGACAGAGGTCAACCTCTCCACCCTCAACACAGCGGCGGCACCACCGTCGTCTTCAACGTCATCGTCGCGTCACGGCCGCCAGCAGAGCACGCATGGCAACGGACCCAATGCTGCCAACGCAAACGCGAGCGCAACAGCAGGCGCTGCAGGGCGGTTTGCAGGGACGGGCCGACGGCAATCGCTCTCTGGTCTGCGCCCGCCGCGTCCAAAGCACTCGCGCACACGCGGGGCGCGCTCACCCGTCGCCCCAACCCGCGATGACAAGACAGGCAGCCCCGTGCCCGCCACGGGTACCGCCACCACGACTGTCAACGGCAGCAGCGGTAATGGCAGCGGCGTGCCACAGGTCATCACAACTGCGCCGCCACCAGCCGTGGGCAACTCACCCATGTCGCGCACATCGAGCAACGGCACGCTGTCCTCTGGTGGCGCCTCGTGCACGACAACCCCGCAGCGGTCCTTCCATCGGTCACGGAGCTCCACAGACACGGTGAGCCGGCGCCGCCACTCCATGCGCAAGGCGTCAACGGACCAGCCGCCCGTGTTGGAGGAGGTGGACGTGGAGCCCGCGGATGACGTGGCGCTGGTCGAAGAGGCGACACGCACACACGGACGGCGCCGCACGCTGTCGTCGCGGATGCTGAGCAGGAACTCACTCAACTTGGATGACACACTGCACGCAAACGACACGTGCACCCCCGCCCGACAGCACGCTGCAGGTGCCGATGTGCCGACGCGTGCAGTGCAACAGCAACAGCAACAGCAGCAATCGCAGCAAGGGCGCGCGAACGCTGGGCGGCGCGCAACGCTGCATGCGACCAACAGAGCAGCGGTGCTCAAGTCTCTGCGACGCACCCAAGATGAAGGCCAGCAGTCTGCTAGCACCGCCACCAACGGGAACATCCACGGCAACGGGCACATGACCGCAACAAAGACGGAAGAGATTGATCTGACTGCGGCGATGTCGACGACGCGCCGCCGCTCAAGCGTTTCGCGCCGGTCCTTGCGTGGGTCGCATGCAAGCAGCACACAGGGTAGCACACAGGGCAGCGCCAAAGACCTCCTGCCCGACATCCACAAGGGCGTGCACCCGTCGCATAGCAGGCCCTCCTCCTCCACACACACGCGCGTGCGTTCCGGCAGCACGCGGCGGCGATCTGGGGAGCGGCAGGCATCGACCTCGTCGCTCGCACCGCCATCATCCCGAGAGCCGGACCCGAGCAACATCCAGACGATTCGCTATCCCCTCAACAGACGCATGGTTTCCGCCCGCTCGCCGCTGGAGATCTTCGAGCAGCTGCAGCGCGCCCTGCGTGCACTCGACATGCCCTTCTGGGCGAGCTCTGGCACGGACATGGGTGTGGTGTGCCGCAGCGGTGGTGTGCGGCTGGAGGCAGAGGTGGTGAAGATTGCTGGCCTGAGCATGCATGGCGTGCACATGCAGCGCCAGCGTGGTGACCTCGAGACATATGCAGAGATCTGCACCAGAATCCTTGACGAAATGAACCTCTAACTGACAACGTCGTGGTGTGCATGTTCGTGTCTTTCTTGTGGGATTGTGTGCGTGCGTGCATGTCTCGTACGTCTGTGTTGATGTGTATGTTTGGGTGTTTGTATCTGCATGTTGATTGTGTGGGTGCGTGTGAATGCGTTTAACCTCCCGTCGTTGGGTTGGCCGGTGTGCAATGGACCATCCACCACAGGTGCGCGAGTCATGATGGTGGTGTTGATGGCATGTCACCGATGTTTTGGCTCATACCACTCCTGCTTCTTTGGTTCTGTTCGTTGTAAGCTTCCTTTTGTTGACATAGCTTTCATTTTTTTGATTCCTTCTTTATTTGATTTACGTCAAGGTTGTGTGTGTGTGTGTGTGCGTGTGTGTGTGTGTGTGCGTGTGTGTGTGTGTGTGCGTGTGCGTGTGTGTTGCTTTGCGTGCATTGATGGCCGCGCGGGCAAGTGCGTGAGTGGGAGTGAGAGAGACAAGAGGCAGAGGCAGTGGGGTTCGCTGACGCCCCTCGTCTCTGTGCAGCTTTCGTTGTCGTCGCCTTTTCTTTGTTTTTTCCCCGTTTTGAATAAGCTCGCCTGTTCCCTTTCTTTGTTTTGTGGTACCTGTTCAAGCGTTCACGTCACTGTGCTGCCTCTTCCGCTTGGCTTTTGCTGATCTGTGGCGAACGCTGAGGCCGTGCAGCCCTCACGCTGTCATATGGCGTGTGATCAACGTCCCAACTGCAGTCATTCGTTTCTTGGCATGACAGCAAGCCATGTGGTGCTTTGTGACGTGCCTTCTCTCGGTGTTGTGCTGGTCCTCTGCCAAGCATGTGTGTGCACTTTGTTGACGCCAAGTATGTATTTTGCCCCTCTTTGTTTTGGAAGGGTGTCAATGCGTGTACGTAGAGGGGTGTGGCTGTTTGTCGTTCCTGTTCTGTCTCTTGACCATTCTGTATGATTCGCTCCCCATCCAACCAGTAAACCACTCTCTTCATGCCTTCATGATTGCGTGACCTGTTGTTTGTATAATTCACACAATGCACAAAGCACGCACGACAGGGAGATCAAGCATAACATTCACTCACAGGCCAAGTTGACATGCGTACCTTCCCATAGTGTGTGTGTGTGCGTGTGTGTGTGTGTGTGCGTGTGCGTGTGTGTTGCTTTGCGTGCATTGATGGCCGCGCGGGCAAGTGCGTGAGTGGGAGTGAGAGAGACAGAGGCAGAGGCAGTGGGGTTCGCTGACGCCCCTCGTCTCTGTGCAGCTTTCGTTGTCGTCGCCTTTTCTTTGTTTTTTTTCCCCTGTTTTGAATAAGCTCGCCTGTTCCCTTTCTTTGTTTTGTGGTACCTGTTCAAGCGTTCACGTCACTGTGCTGCCTCTTCCGCTTGGCTTTTGCTGATCTGTGGCGAACGCTGAGGCCGTGCAGCCCTCACGCTGTCATATGGCGTGTGATCAACGTCCCAACTGCAGTCATTCGTTTCTTGGCATGACAGCAAGCCATGTGGTGCTTTGTGACGTGCCTTCTCTCGGTGTTGTGCTGGTCCTCTGCCAAGCATGTGTGTGCACTTTGTTGACGCCAAGTATGTATTTTGCCCCTCTTTGTTTTGGAAGGGTGTCAATGCGTGTACGTAGAGGGGTGTGGCTGTTTGTCGTTCCTGTTCTGTCTCTTGACCATTCTGTATGATTCGCTCCCCATCCAACCAGTAAACCACTCTCTTCATGCCTTCATGATTGCGTGACCTGTTGTTTGTATAATTCACACAATGCACAAAGCACGCACGACAGGGAGATCAAGCATAACATTCACTCACAGGCCAAGCGGGCACACACACACACACACACACACACATACACACACAAACACACAAGCAAGCAAGCAAGCGACAAGACCAAGAACACAGCAAGCGAACGTCCACCCAGTCACGCAAATGCAACAACGTCTCCAATCAGTGATGGGACAACCTAACACACTTGACTATGGCTTTTGTGGCTGCTGCTAGTGGTGGCGGTGAACACTTGGTGTGATTGTCATGCACACAACAGGGGATGCTGAAGGGACAAGCTTGGCTGCAGGATGCAAGGGTTGTTTGGGAGCAGGAAGGGGGATGATCCAAAGGTCTTTGTTGGTTGGTTGGTTGGCTGGACGGTTGGTTGGTTGGATGAAGTGTGTTGGCGTATGCTCAAGTGCGGAGCCAGACGAGGTTGCTGCGGAGGCGGTTGTAGTCTGGGAGCTGCTCGACGGGTCCAATGGCGGCGACGGCCGGGCAGCGGTCGTACACGTACTTGTCCATCGCAGACCGCACAGTCGACGAGCTCACAGACTGTAAAACCAAAAAAAAGAAGAGGGGGTAGAGGGAAGGGGAAGGGGAGCGGAAATGATTTGGGTCAACAGAAAAGCGAAGACAATGTGTGTATGTGTGCGTGTGTGCGTGTGCGTGTGCGTGTGCGTGTGTGTGTGCGTGTGTGTGTGTGACCACCGTCGCCACCATCATCATCAGCAACAGCAACAACAACAACTTAAACAACAACTGAAACAAACAACAACTTAAACAACAACATGCAGCAGCGTGTACTGAGGGCTGCTCACGTCGAGGAGGGCGTTGATCTCGGCAGCAGGGACGCGGCGGCCCAGGGTCAGAATCTGCCGTCCAATCTCATCGTTGGCCGCCTGTGCACCTGTTTATTGGAGGGGATGGGGAGAAAGCGACGAAAGAGGTGATGTTATTCACGTGGGAGAACACGTTCTGCGGTGGTCGTGGTGGTCAAACAGTGTCACAATGCAGTGGCCATACCGTGACCACACAAGTGACAATGCACCCAATGACAGCAGCAAGGAACAAAAACAACACATCGGCACTGTGTGTGTGTTACGTACTGTCGACGGAGAAGATGAGCTGGGACTTGAGCTGGCGCTTCACGCGCTCAACCTCGGCATCCGTCGCGCCCTGAACACCGCGGCACGGACGAGCGGTATGTGGAGAACAGAACATCCATTGCAGACAGAAGTTATGAAAGAGAAGACAACACAGAAAGGAACACAGACGGGAACATTGCGGGTCACACGCGACTCGTTGCTTCCAAGCAAGCCTGCGCCACATCAACCCATCAACCCCCTGGTCACGCCTTCCAGCCAGCAGCACATAACATACGTTGGCCAGGCGCAGCCACTCCTGGGTGAGGGCGTAGGCAAAGTCCTCAATCTTGTCGTAGTCCGTGACCGCGTAGCAGCCCCACAGGCCCGTGTCCGTGTACGACGTCTGGAACGACATGTAGTTGTGGGCCAGCGAGTGCTCCGCAGCGAGGCGGGCAAGCGGGGACGACAGGTTGGCCGAGCCGCCAAAGTTGCGGTCCCAGCTGCCAACAAGCTGTGCACACACGCACACACGCACACACACACACACATGGGTAGTGTTGGTAGTGTTGGTGGTGTTGGTGGTGTTTTGCATCGTCACGATGGATGAGGAGAGTGAGGGTGAGTGCTCGTGTGTGATAGGAAGGAGGACAGGATGTGTGAGGTGGCAAAACTCATCCGCTTGCAAAGACACGTGGAAGCAAGCAAGGAGGCTGTAGTAAGCACGACAGCAGCAGTGACAGCAGCAGTAACACGCAGAAGAATCTCCATGACATCTGCCCAACGTACGGATGAGCCGACGAGCATGGAGTAGAAGTCGGGGTCGCTCCAGCTGACGCCCTCAACGGCAATCGCAAACTTGGCCGTCTGCTCGCTGTCATCGCGGAAGCGCAGCTGCACACACACACGTATCGGTTAGGGACGTGGTGGGCAATGTAGGTGATGCACGATGACCTGGGATGAATTGTTGCATCAGCCACACATTCACACAGGTACACACACACACAAACACTCACTCACACTCACTCACACACACACAAAATACACACACAAACACACATGCACATACAAACACACATGCACATACTCACACAAACACATTCACACACGAATACAACGCACCTCGGAGCCGTGGAAGTCGGATGTGGTGACGGCGGGGGCCTTGTCGTCGGCAGAGAGGCCGCCAAACGCCTTCTCAGCGGCAGCAACGAGCTGGTCGTGGTCGACGCCGCCCGTGCCAACCAGCACCATGCGCGGGCCCGTGTAGTACGTCTCCACGTACTTGATCAGGTCCTCGCGCGAGATGGACCTGCAGTGGCGGGATGCGTGCGTGGCGTGAGCATCATGTTTTGGAAAGGAGGGGTGGTGAGTGTAGAGGGGTGGTTGTGGCAAGACAGCACAATGTTTTGCTTCATTGTGTGTGCGGTGTGTGTGTGTGTTCTCATGTTGCATGACGGCACACGACCGTGTGTTGACTTGACTGACTTGATGTTCTCCTCGGGGCCGAGGATGGTGTAGCCGAGTGGGGAGTTCTGCACAGCACAGCAGCACAGACAAGCAATTCGTCGTGTGAGCAACACAAATCAAAGATGCACAGCTACAGCAGCCGCTGTGGAACGGTTACACTGACCACTTTTTGCCCACTCACCACCACCGCGCTAATGGCTGTGCGACTGACAGACCTGGAAGGCGGTGGCGTGGAGATAGTCCATGACCACCTCCTCGGGGATGGAGTTGACCTCCTGGTTCTCGCGCAGAATCACGCCACGCTCAGCCTCAACCTGCACACAAAAGCCCGCACACAACATGTGCAGCAAGCAACAAGTGAGATGCAGTAAGCCAAGTGTGTGCGTGTGCGTGTGTGCGTGTGTGCATGTGTGTGCTGTGTTGTGGAGGGGTTCCATATGCCTCATGCGCAAGTTTCACTGACAGGTGCATCCGGCACACGAGCGTACCTTTCCTGCGTCGTACTTGGCGTTGGTGAGGATATCACCGAGCAGGTCCACGGCAAAGTCCGTGTCGTCGGAGAAGCACCGCGCTGAAGCAATGGTTTGAACAGGCATTAGGGCGACGGCGAGTGTGAGGACACACGTGGTGCAACCAAGCAAGTGAGCGAGTTCTCTCCTTTACACCACCCCACCATCCCACACATACGTGTGCAAACACGCATATTGATGCAGCACACACGCACCCATGTAAACGGTGGATTCTCTGGATGTGTATGCATCGAGGCGCATGCCACGCTGCTCAGCCTGGATGTGTGTGTGTGTGTGTGTGTGTGTGTGTGTGTGCGTGTGTGTGTGTGTGTGTGTGTGTGTGTGTTGTGAGAAGTGGTGTGACCAAGCGAGGAGAGATACAGCATCAAACACAAGCTGCACACATGCAAAAGCACACGTCATACCTGAGAGTCAATCTCCTGCTGGGTGCGCTTGTTGGTGCCCTTGAAGGCCATGTGCTCAAGGAAGTGGGCAGTACTGTCAGAAAAGGAGGAGGGAGGCGAATGTCAGCCAACACTGTCCCTTTTGAGAGTTCACACACACACCCACACACACCCAAACACACCCTCACCCTCACACACACACACACACACACACATCCTAACACTCACTCACTCACTCACACACACGCACACACACACATCCTAACACTCACTCACTCACACACACACACACTCACCCACCCACACACACAACTGCCTTACCCGTTGTTCTGGGCCGTCTCGAAGCGGCTGCCAGCATCCACATGCACGCCAATCGTGGCCGTCTGGTGCGGCGTCTACACACGTCCAACCAAACACAATTCGCAAAGGCCAATGCAGTGTGTGCGGACATGCAGGCGGGCGTGAGCCAGTGTCACTCATTGTCCCCCCGACGATGCAACACTCCGCAACCACACCACCCTTCACACCACACCACCTTTCACACTTCACTGCAAGCTCCCCCCCCCCTCCCAACACACACACTTTTCACTGCACCAGAAAGCACACCTGCTCTGTGACGACACGGAAGCCGTTGTTGAGCGTGGTGACGCGGGTCTCAGCAGCCGTGGCTGTTGCGGCAGCAGCGGCAGAAAGCCACCGCCGGCCAGCAACACGGGTCACACCAGCCATCATCATCCTCTCGCTTGTCTCTTCTCTTCTTCTCTTCTTCTTGCAGTGGTGGTTTGCGTATGTTTCCCGTGTGCAGTGTATGTTTCGTCGCTCCCTGGCAATTCCCCACACAAAGTGCGCACTCTGAAGGCCTCTCCATCCTATCCACCACGTGCCTTTTTTCCCTCGCTTCTGTTCCTGTTTGTGCCAATATCGCGCCACCTCTGCTTCCTTCCTTTCATCGTCTTGTTGTCTTCGCTCCACCGCCACCACAACCAGCAACCAGCAAAGCAGTCGTCATGGAGTTTGGTCCATCCAGGTGCACCTACGAGCTGGCAACACAGAGCCCGATCCCCACCACCACTTCTCCAGGTGTGCACCATGATGGCTGTGGGCGTGATGGTGTGTGCGCGCAGAAAGCGAGACCATGTGGCCTGTTTGACTAATTGGAGAGCGATTGCACAATCGACATGTGCGCCTCGTCTTCTTCTTGTTGTTGTTGTTCTTCTTTGCCTTGTTTCCTTCGCCGTGATGGTTGAGCCAGTGTGGGGGTGCTCACGTCCGCTTCGCTGCTCGCTCGTTTGCTTGCAGGGATGATCCCTCTGGTCCCCATGCTCGCCAGGAGCTCAAGCCAAAGATCCTGCCCAACATCCTCCACAACATCGGTGCGCTGCTGAAACGTGCCACCACGTGGCGTGCTGGACGGTGTCTGGTGTTGCTTTGACAGCGTTGTGGCGTGTCCTCCTTGCCTTGTTGCCAACCACTCACACTCACACACGTCCGCACACACACACTCACACACACACACGCTCACGTTGTGACATGGCTCTGCACGTGGGCACCCACCACAATCCTGGCTGCAGGCAACACGCCTCTTGTGCGCATCAACAAGATCGCTGAGGAGGAAGGCCTCGAGTGCGAGCTTCGTAAGTCTGCGCGCACACACGCCGTGTTCCAATGTGGCTGTACCTGTTTGCTTGCTGTCACTGTTTGCTTGCCTGGCTCGTCTACTTGCACTGCTTGCGCTGCTGGCACTGCAGCGCAGTCTCACGTGTGCATGGCAAACCACGCACGTGTTGCTTGTGATGGGGAACAGTGGCCAAGTGCGAGTTCTTCAACTCTGGCGGCTCTGTGAAGGATCGCATTGCTCGCCGCATGGTCGAGGATGCGGAGCGCGATGGCCGCCTCAAGCCAGGCAGCGTCATCATTGAGCCAACATCCGGCAACACCGGTATGCCAGCCTGGCTTTGTGGCAATGTGTGTGTCTGCACGTGTATGAGTGCGTTTGTTTGTTTGTTTGTTTGTTTGTTTGTTTGTTTGTGTGTGTATGTGCGTGTTTGTTTGTTTGTTTGTTTGTGTGTATGTGTGTGTGTGTTTACGTGTGTGTGTCTGCGTGTGTGTCCACCGTCCCTTGATTGCGCAC